ATAAATCATGTACTATAAAATTTGAAACCAGGGGAAATAAATCCTCCGAGCATATAGCATAGTCAATTAAACTATTACCGTTCGTTGACAAATAAGTAAAACTTCCGGTCCCGGCATCATCGCCAACTCTCCCGTTTATAATATATAAATTACTGCTTTGACATATTTCTAACAATCGATTTCCAGATGTATTTACAACAGGGTCCATTGAAAGTCTACAAGGGATATTAACAAATTGATAATCATCACCGTCGCTATTTTTATCAATTACAGAAATAAATTTATCATAGTGCGAACATTTTTGAATAAAATCATTCTTACCGCCACATCTAGCGTTTACATCGCCAATCACGGCAATTTTTCCTAAAAGAGAGTATTTTCTCACGCCTCTTTCTAATAATTCAAAAAAGCCTTCTTCGTGCATGGTAAAATATATAGAATTACTGGGCGGGATATATAAACAACAAAGGTAAACATCACTATCTAAATTGAAAAAAGATTTACACAGTTTAACCCATATAACACCACTATTGTCTATTTCAGCTACTGTAATACCACTTTTTAAACGACTTCTGTAAAATAAACATACACCCCCGTGACCTCTTTTTGAGTTTAAGCTTTCGGGTCGGGGAACTGAAATGCATTCATACCCATCTATTTCGTACACATTATTGATTTTTTTGCCAAGTTTCACATAAGAAAACAATATCAAAATTTACAACAAAAATTCAAAAAGTCTTCATCACTTGAACAGTTACCTAAACCTTCAATATTCCACGATACAATAGATAAGGCATACTTTTCTCGTCTGTCCTAGAAATTTGGTACTCCACGAGATTCCGGATCGAACAATATATTGTTTATATAGAGTTTATCGCGCACTAATACTGCTCTTTTGCCCTGCTTTCTGGCCTCGATCATTTCCGGTATAAGAGCCTTTCTTCTCTCTTTAACTTCTTGGGGATACTGCTCAGTAACATTATAATTACTGTGTTTTAAGTTTACATGTTTTTAACGCGCTTTTAATAACAAGCTTTGATTCGGTGTCTTTTAACTTAACCACGATCGGACGTTCTTTGCCGTGAACGAATTTCCCAATTCTATGAGCCCTATCAATCTGTACTTTGTTATCAACCTCCGAAATTTTCAGTACATTTTTACAAAAATCTATTATTTTGGCTTCACAATTTTCATAATTTAAACCTGACGTCATATCCGGTATAGCAGACGATGTCGTTGACTGACTGGCCTCATCCGCTACGTCACTGTTTGCCCATGCTGATGTGGTTTCACTATGGCCTAGATATTGATCACCTACGACCTCCGTATGAACTACTTCTTGACCCATACCTGTTAACGGTGATTTTGACTGTAATTTGCCCTCGGGTATTCCAAAAAACATAAGATTGTCACGCATAGAGCGACATTTGAGATCAATTATTGAATCTTTCATGTATCTATTTTCTGTTATCAAATCACGATTTTCCTCGTTTCAAAAACTTTGATATCATTTTGTACAAGCGTTATATTGTCCTTGTTTACAGTAGTGCATGTAGAAAGCGTGTCATACTGTTCGCTTATGAATTTCTGACTATTTTCAATGTCACTCATTTTCTGCTCCATACTATTCAAACGTGAAGTAATATCATATACCGATTTTTGTATAGAATTTAACTTGACTAAGTTTCTGATCAACATTGTCCAGTCTTTGAAGTATACATTGCAATATTTCAAGATGCTGGTTCGCTTGACTTTTTTGAGTAGGTTGGTTTTGATTTGTTGAAAAACAGCAGACCCTGAGTTAAGATTCATATAAGTCGGCGTATAAGGGTATACGGGAGGTACTGTAAAAGATTGATTACCCTGATTGCAAGCTGCTGGTAATGGTGTCGATATATTCGTAGACATAGTATGTTGTTGTGCAGATGTATTGCCCGCCATTCCGCCTTTTGTTTGCCTCTTTGTCTGAGAGTCTTTCTCGTTAGGTGTAATATCTTTCCGTTTCTTACCCATTAAAAGCAATAAATCCAATCACTTGAATAGTTAGAACAATAGTCCATAGTTTAACACCAAATAAAGTCCAATTTATCCTTTAGATCATTGCTTATTTATTATTTTTCACACAAGTTTCAAGAGAAAAAAAATTGTACCGCCATTCTCACGCATGCGCAAACAATCGATAATATTGATTATCAATAATTATAATATAAGATTTCAACATTTGCAATATTCAATATCAAGTTATATTTGACTTCAAATGGTATTTACTTAACAATCAGAATAGGATTAACTGTAATTAGTAATTCATATATCAGCATTTAAGTTGTATCTTATCATAAAGAAGACAAGATTTCATGAAAATATTTTTTTAATATCGGTTAAAAACAGAGCTATCATCCACGCCCCCTAGCACCGGTTTAAGTAGTTGAAAAGCGGCATATGGTCCCTAAGTAAAGGAAAGTGTTTGGCCTAACCGAAGAACTAAATAAAATGGAATTTTGAAAGAGGATCATAGGTTATGAAGCAATTAGTAAAACTATAAATAAATACCAGCTTAGATAAATTTGAAGACCGCCTCCGTGGTCGTGTGGTTAGAGTCGATGACTTCTAATCCAGTTACCTCTCTGGCGTGGGTTCGATCCCCGGGAGATGCTTTGGTAGTTTAGCGCGGAGGAAAGTAGTCAAGTACTGGTGTAACTCTCCAGGAACGATGGTAAGGAAACTACCCGCCTATATGACTGAAATACTGTTGGAAAAAGGCGTAAAATGACACAAACAAACAAACAAGATAAACCTGAAGATATTTGGTTTTCTTTAACGTATTACATCAATTCCTGTTAGTAAGGTAGCTTATACTTTCATTATATTTCTATATGTTTAAATTATTTAGAAGAAAAAAATACATAAAAATAAATTTCTCATTACATTCTCCTCTCAGTTACAAGAACGAAAATATGAATAGGATGAAATAGGAACATGAAAAAAACATAACATATTTATTCTGCTAGGGTGTCTCCAACCGGTAAGCAAGCGGTCAAAAGTATGAACGGGTTAAGCAATTTCTCGATTATACCAATGAGGAAAACACAAATTAGTTGTTAAAAGGTAACTCTGTAAGATTTAATAGCGACTTTACTCTACCATGTTTGGTATAAATCTAGTGTTTCTTACATAGCGCGGTACCGATATGCAAATAAGCAAATCACAATTTCTTCCGAAAACTAGCAATTGGTAAATAATCATGTCAGGAAGTTGCGTAGCTTTCTGTCATGTCACTTGTGTATTTTTTAATGTGTGGTAGCTGCTGATAAGCTCTTCCCAAATTTTATTTCGGGATAAAAGCTTTAAAAACCTTTTGTTGTCAACCTTTTTAAGTTTTTCTTTTTCTCATAATCTTACCTCACCTTACCTCAGCGATTACCACACTAACATTTTAAACTTTTATTTCGATGCATGTATATGCTATTCTATATTCATTCTTTCTTTGTTGAGTATGCTACTAATATATATATTCAAGCAGCATTTGGTCTTTGGGCCAGTGCGCTACTGAGACATGACTTATCCTTCATTTCCCTCATTTTCATTTTTGTTTTAATTTTTTTTATGTTAAGTGTTCATAAAATGTATTTCTAGGATGTTGTATTATATTGTGATTATTGCTTGTATTGTGATATTTGCTTGTAATCAATTAATATTTTATCCATATGTGCTTATTTATCTTAATTTATTTTACAGCTTTATCATAGATGAATAGATGATTTTCTTAATCTAATTATTATACATGTACATGTTTTTTTGTTGTTGTTTTTTTGCATATTAAAGGTTTGTATGTTATGTTGCAAAATAACTTTTATAGCTAGTGTTATTATGTTTTATTGTAACTGACAATAAATAAAGATTATGTTAACTTATGTTAGTTCGATTATATTGGTTCTTATAAAATTATTTACACACTCTCGAAACAGTCCTTGGAACCAAATAGTACTAAGCAATGAATGTAAAGTTTCTTGCTTAAGGACACAACGACTTGCCCCTGAACCCACTGGACCAGTCACTCACAGAGCACTAGACAAATGCATTTATCACTCGGCCACGTAGCCACAAGTTGTTTCAATTTTATGTCATATATACAATGTGTAAGGGCACAAAATTTTACATTTTATGATTATTTAAGAAGTCGTTTTTTGATGACTAATCACAAGTTATTTTTTATTATTAAATGTGATTTGACTGAAATGATATATGAAAATAAGATTTACGCACAAATAAATAAGTATGTTTTTGAAAGTGGTATACCAAATTAAAAATGTTGCATCTCGATTTGATGAATCTGTTCATGTCCATTTACACCTAAAGTAAATAATTTTATTTTTAATTATCAAACTGTAAAATTAAGAAACATTCGCAGCTGTGTTTATATTGCAAATATCATAAACTTTTCCAAAGGACACTTAAATGTCATTCCATGACGCCTACGTGTCTTATTTAGTAAGAAAAACAATCTTTTTCAGCGACATAGGCCCTAGCCATACTTCATGATGATCTTTTGAAAGAAAATGTATCAAATATAGATAGTAGTTAGTTTTCGAATATTTTGTTTGTTGAGCATTACTATTAAAACCTGAAACTAAACATTTATCCCACAAACTTCATAAAGGCTAAGGATTTTTGATACCAACACAATAGAAGACGAAATGTGCAAACAGGTAACATTAACAGCGAAACAAATAATGGAAATTTCAGCGAAATTACAATGTTTAATAAAAATAATGAAATCATGATTTTTAAATTACCTACAAATTTACAAATGTTGTACAATATCTGATTCCATGTTCCTAATTACTAAAATGTTTAAATGTACACCCGTTTATATTGCAGCAAACATAATGACATCAATCAAGAAACCACACTACTTTAAGAGCAAATTCGTTTGTTTTTTCTTTTTTTTGTTTTTTTATTTATCTTTATTTTATTTTTTATTTTTTTTTTGGGGGGGGGGGTGTAATTGTCTCAAAACAATGTTGACCATACCAGGGTATATCAAACAGGAAATCTAAACGAGAAACTTAGTACAAATGCTACAGAGGTAAATGAAATATGTTGTATATCACAACTAAAGCCGATGTTTCGTGTCAGTGTTGTTTCTTCTTTCTTTTCTTAAAACAAGCCAAAGCTTCATTTTGGCTTTAATAGTGTGGCCATGTTTTGATAAGGTCATACAGTTTTTCACCAGGACTTGCAGTTGTTTCTACGTCTCTAGCACCTCTCAAAAGGTAAGTGTTGGACAGTTTACCATTGGAGAGACCACACGCAATCATTTGTTTAACAGCGTTTACGGCAGCGTCGTTTGGCACTCTGTTAGTGAAGTCACCGATGACACAAATAGCTGCAGTGAACGAAAACAAAAACAGGTACTGATAGTGAATGACTTTTGTAATCATTATAACTGGATTTCTTACTCATTTTAACAATAATAGCCCCATTAAAACTTTATTTTTATAAGTCCTTGAAATAAACGAGTATAAGCATCGCCAAAAAATGCTAGGCATCACTGCTCAGCGAAGTATTCGAAAAACATTTTTTCGGGAAACAGTCTCCTTCCTTAACAATAGAGCTAATGTTCTTCTTTAAGAGAATATCTTATATTGCTTTTTACCCCGTAGTAGTAATTCATTTTCTTTATAAAGGTATCCCGACAAAAACATGGTGGGTAGCTTGCACCCTTGCTTAGGCGCCTTTTTTGCGAGGCCGTCCATCATGTGGTATTAAATTATCCGTTTTGATTGGCTTAAGGCAGCCGTGCTCGAGTAGAAATGGTCAAATCCTGTTAATTATTAGGAACGGCGAAAATTAGAAAGCCTTTACATTTCAAGATAATAATCAGTTTTTTAAATCGACTAAAGCAAACAAATAATTACTTACCAAGTCCAACATCATTATAACCATACGTGTGTGCACCAACAGCGTCCCAACCTCGGGCCTCATAAACGTTGCCGTCCTCACCAACAACAAAACTATATCCAATATCTGTGAAACCTGGAGAAAGGTTTTGTGTATTACTTTGTTTTGCCAACATAATTAAAATCATGTTGATCATATATTTTCGTTTTATTGGCAATCAAAGACAGTGAGAAACATGAAAATACATTTCCATGAACTACATGTGGCTTTATATTTTTAATCAATTATTTAACATAAGATGAATTTTCAAAAGATATTTTCTGTACCTTACTTCTCGTTTGTTTATGAAAAATGCATCATTCTTAGACAGGTATGTGATGTCCAAATAATTACTAACAGACATATATTATATTACCAAGAAAGTCAATCTGATAGGTTTGGTAGTTTTTCATCATCTGGATACAATCAGTCCGGGTAAAACAAAAGTCGGAAGCACCGTGGTGTATAAACATATATTTCACTGGGTGATGGAGTTTCCGGTATGTGGAGATGGGGTCACGTGCTCCCCATTCTGTCCGAGTTATGATTTTAGGGCAGCCCGGAAGTTGCAGTTGTTTATTTGTGACATTTGACGAAACACACGGAGAAAGTGTTACGAATCCTTCATGAATCCATCCATTCTAAAGTGAATGATAACATGATAAGTGTTATATTGCTTAGTTTGATATTATTGTATCATCTTAATTGCGTTCTAATTTTCAAAATAAAAAAGAAATGTGGTCATTTATGATTTATATATGCAACTATATATTATGACAGACAATACTGAATAAGAACCTCGGAAAGAACGTTTTGTGTCATAAAAGGTTTATGAAACTACACATTAGTCGGTAGTGAAATAGTCAAAGAAAGACCCAAGACCAAGTTTTGATAACAAATCAAATATATCTAATGAATAAAGTATGTCATTCATATTTATAGTCAATACTTCATGAAGTGTGTAGTTGATTATCTTAATGTTTCATAAGTAGTGAATTATAACTAAAATCATCCTTACATTGTAAGATATATATGAGCCGCGTCACGACAAAACCAACATAATGGGTTTGCGACTAGCATGGATCCAGACCAGTCTGCGCATCCACGCAGTCTGATCAGGGGCCATGCTGTTCGCTATCAGTTTCTCTACTTGTTATAGGGTTTGTAAGCGAACAGCGTGGATCCTGATCAGACAGCGCGGATGCCCAGGCTGGTCTGGATCCATGCTGGTCGCAAACCCATTATGTTGGTTTTGTCATGACGCGGCTCATATGTATTTTATTGCAAGAAAAGAGCTGACAGAAGAGCAAAAAAGAACAACACAACAAAACAAGTCAAGATAACGACTTGTCAAATTAATACGCACGTGGCCATGGTAGTCTACATTAACCCACGATGTTTCATTCACGGTTTGTCTGTGACCTTTATAGGACAGACATTGATCTGTAAATAGGATAGTCAGTATGGTATGTGATAAACCAGGTCCGTCCCTTACATGCACGTTAGTAGTTGCACATGCGCATTGAGTGCATTTTACGTAATGTAACCCGACTAATCCGAGGAGTGTTAATATTATACTGAACATGACGCCAATGCGTCGACCTGTTTGAAAAAGTTAAAGAATGACAATTACATAAATATAATATAAGCATTTGTGAAAATTATTAAGATCTCAGATTTATTATATTGTTCCAAATAAATCTGAAAAGAAATATAATTGTTGTAATCTAAATAAGATTGGGTTAAGAAAGAAACAACTTACAGCTGAAGATATGGCAGAAATACGTTCACTTTTCAGTTTTTAACAATAAACTTATCAAAAATACCTTGAGGTTTGTCCGTGATCCAGTTCTACGAGATAAACCATGTCTGTTTTTATATCAAAATTTAAAGGCCGATTACTTAACTTCGATACTTATCTAAATTGCTGTTTAATCACATTGAAAGATTTTTTACATTAATGTGACATGTTAATACTTTCATCAATAGCATAGGGTGAAATAAATCAGTAAAAGGAGAAATTTAAACATATAAGTAAAAAGTGCGGATTCTCAGACCGATTCATGTAGCATTATAACATGTACTGATCTGATCTAAGTATTCTAATCGTAATTAGGTTATTCATAATAAGACAAGTAACAGTTATGAAAAAAAACACAAAATTTGAAATTTAATACGCCTGATACAGTATAACAGCTTCACCCTTATTTCTAAATGGAAATGTCCATGTATCGGCTCGTACTTTTTCCTACCGACTTATGTTTAGATTTATGTATTTGCTTCAAACTTACATATGGATAAATAAATGAATGAATGAATTAATTTTTTTCTTTAATTGATTAATCAATTTATTAGATAGTTTGATGATATAAATACATACATACATAAATAAATTATTTATACTTTCATCTACTTTTTCTTAAGATCCTTTTTAGAAACCATAAAAAGGTATTCACTTCACTTAGTATACATATTCACTATCAAAATGCGACCCCATTTCAAAAGTGAAGTGAAATTTTAAAATTTATTTGGCAAAGTTATTTCTCTTCTTCGACTTTGCTTTGATGAATAAGCTTTAGGGAGACCTCAGATACCATATGACCGTTCAAATCTAAAAGTCATCTAGTTAAACATAACATAACATAATATTTATGAAGCATTAAATGTTATAACATTCATAGTCATATCAAATCGCTTACTATACACACATATAAAGGGCAAGTACATGGTTAACAAAGAATTTTACGTATTCTGTAAACATATCTCTTACATTTCAACATTCTCTGTATTAAGGTGAACATTAATTAATATTAATTAGGTCATTTCCGTTAGAATTAATTCATTAATTATGTCCAAATCAGGAATTTACTTCAAATGAGAAGCTTTATAAATGAATTTACTTACATTAATAGTATTTTAACAAATTTGCATCTGTGGAAGATTTGTTTAATTCGAAAATATTTGGAGATATTTTTCTCATAAAAGGTACAATGAATGTTAATAAATTACTATTATTTAACAAAATAGAATTTATTATCTATATTATATGGAATATAGTATCATAATGAAAGTTTGTTTTACATTTCTTTTTTTGTCGGAGAAATGGACATTTTCCTGGTGCATCAGGGATATTATTTCTACAAAGGGAAACATTTATGTTATGCTATCAAACTAAATTTAAAATAAATGATATATATTAAAAGTAGTAACAAAATAAAAGTTTCTTGTAAAATTCAACAATTGATTTTTCGATTGATGTTTTGGTAAGTATATGGAAACATTTCCTGTGCAATAGAGGTTTTCCAAAACGGGTATAAAGTGTGCTAATCAAACAATATTAAGTCCCAGATTTCGTAAAAAATGTTTAAATCATTTGTTTGGGAAAAACAGTATATAAAGCTTCATGCCTCAAATGACAATATTTTAAGAAAATCAAATTTGAGAAAAATCTGCGCAAATTGCATCAATAAATCTCCGTTGCTTAATTTAGTCATTCCGGTTCAAAAGTTAAAGGAGCAGCAAAATTTCGGTACACGGTTCACTCGGTCATAATATTATAATAGTGCATGGTGATATTGTAGCTATATAATGTTAACTCTAACTATTTTTCGAAACATGAAATAGTAAAACGCTATTCAGAAAACAATTATCGATTTATACATATACAGTTTAAAGGATTTAAACGGATTGAACCATTGCCCGTAGTGTTAAGTAACGTAAATAATATTTTCCTATTTTTCTTTGTAACGATTTGTCCACTTCGATGTCAATTTTTCGTTTAAGTTAAGTCGTATTTTGAAGCGAAGCATGACCATAACATTTTTTGCAGACTGGCTCTTAAAATGCGATGTATTAGCTTCAATTTGATACGCAAAACTCGGATGCCACCAGCAACCAATATCAAAACTATATGAGCCGCGCCATGACAAAACCAACATAATGGGTTTGCGACCAGCATGGATCCAGACCAGCCTGCGCATCCGCGCAGTCTGATCAGGATCCATGCTGTTCGCTTACAGACCCTATAACAAGTAGAGAAACTGATAGCGAACAGCATGGATCCTGATCAGACTGCGCTGATGCGCAGGCTGGTCTGGATCCATGCTGGTCGCAAACCCATTATGTTGGTTTTGTCGTGACGCGGCTCATATATCCTTAATTGCCATGCATTATTTGTATGTATATACATGTATTGTCTGTATATGACTTTATGCTATACCATGCTTACAATGAAATAATATGTCTGTTCTATTCTTAATAAATATCCAAACAATTGACATAAAGCATTCACGAAAGCGGTTTTTGCTGATATTGCTATTTTATATGGTTCTACTAAAATATGAAGTCTTTAACATTATATTGATTTTCACACTTGCTATAAAATCAGTAATGATACAGTTACCAAGTACCAGTTTTAGTAACTATATCAACAGTGGTAGCATGAAATGGCAACAACAAAATAAAATTTGCCGTTTTTGGATTTTCTACAGGGTTTTCATTTTGTCTCTATTTCACAAAAATGTTAACAATCATCACACTGTTTCATAACAAATGCAGTTATATATCTAATTACAGGTAATACAGAAAATTGTAAATATTAATGATTAAATTGTAAAAATATGAACAACTGTTGCTTGTTTGGACACCATAGCAACTGAATAAAAATTCATGACAATTTAATAAATTAAATGTCAATCTCATTTCTGAGGGAAAATATTTAAATATTTAATATTTAAAGTGACATTATGCTGATATTTTCATTGTCACGTTGAATTGAATTTACTTTATACATGTGTTTTAAAAGACTCGAGTTATAATGGTGATTTACCAACAGTTGTTATTGGAAAATGTTTAGGATGAAATATAAATCTGCATAAAATATAAAAAGACTGTCTCGCTCTTTTTATAAATTTGAACGTTACTGGATATACATGTCTTTGGCCATGTGAGTTATTTAATGTTCACGCGAAGAACATTATAAAATTAAGAGGAATTATACCAAAATGTAAATTTATTTTGATTTTCACCTGTTCACTCACTATATACCCTTTGATAGTCAAAGTGTCACTTCAATTAACAACATTTCATAATAAAAGATAAGTTTCTTTTTTTAACTTGATGAAGATCTTATGTAAAAGCACGTATCTAATTTTATAATAAGGAATTCAATTTCTATTAGACTTTATTACTCTCTAAGACCTTACACCGAGTGAATAACTTCATATTTTAATAAATATAGTGACAACCTGACATCTTCTTTCCATCGAAAACGTACACATTTTACTTATGTTTTCACCTCAGACCAAAATTGAAACTTTTATTTAGGCCTGATAGCTTTTTGTACATACGAGGGATGATCAAAAATAAACCGGATTGTGACTGGCAATTGAAGAATTTTCATCCTATCACTTACTGTTATATATCACACTTAATCGGAAAACAATACCTGTAAACTGATACTATATCTAATCTGATAACGCAAATAGCTTGTCCGTAACAGCGAATTCAAAAACCATGGTAACGCCCACCCGGCGCAGTGCGTAAATTCGCCTTGACATCAGGCGCTTTATGTTGCGTGCATTTTACAATATGGCACATTTAGATTTCAAAATACGCCAAAATGTCATGTACCATATCTTTGACGTTGTCAGTAAAAATGACTTCATTTAAACCATATTTATGTTTACAATCACAATTCAAACGTCACATGTGAATGAAATACTCGCGTTAAAACTATGTCGTCGGAATGTCTCGAAAATCGATCAATAGGAAAAATTTGTCAAATGTAAGACGAGAAACTGTTTAAAACGTAGAAAAAGATTATGGCTATCAAGGGAAAAGTTCAAGAAAGCCACAGCATATTTTTTGATTAGCTTAAAGGATTAAGAAAGGATAATAGAGAAATAGAAAACAAGTAAGGGAGTGACAGAAAAAAGACATTTTCAAGGACGTTGGTGACGTCAATCGCCAAGACGTTTAAAAATGACAGTCGATTGACTGCGGACATAGTCAACGATGTGGACAGTAACTACGGGACGGTGAAGTCAACTCTGAGGATCTTAAAATGATAATAGTTAATGCACTAATTACACGTATTGTATTCTTGGTTTACACTTGTATCAATTATTTTCTTATTTTACGCAGTAGTCTTATGGAGAAATTGTGTCAACAATTTAACAGTCACTGTTCAAATTGGCTATGCGTTTTATTTATTTTAAAATAATGACAATTTTGATCATAGTTGTATTATTCTGTTATTTTTTTGTATGTATGATACATTATCATTCAGCAATATTATTTTACATTATTTGTAAATAAATTGTAATACATAATATAGTTAATGCATGTGCGATTTTTTCAACAATCAAGTTACAGAAGGAAATAACGAAGTTTGCGTCATTACAGGAGCTCTTTATCACCATTCAACCTATTACAATACAATATGATACCCACTTGTACAGAAATATATATAGGCAGGGGATCCGCCGCATCAATAACATGACTGTACCACATATTGGCCGTGAATGAGAAAATATCTGCTCCGTTAAGGACAATACGCTTGTGACGTCGTTAACGTAATTTTAAAGTTATACC